TTTCTGCTTTGAAAGATGAATGAATGTTCTGGTATCTATATCTGCTCAGGGATGTTACCCATAATGATACTGAAATTAGTAAGAACTTGATATAAATAAACATCTGAATTATATAAATCCATGAGTTCTGATATACTTTTCATTTAATTGTATTCAGCAGAGAAAAACTTGATCCAGAGTGCTGGAAGCTGCTGCAAGGATCTAGTTCATTGTAGTGTTTACAGGCTGAACTCAGTGAAGTTTATAAATCGGCAAAGCCAAAACCCAGTGTCCCTGGGGAATTCCTCTGGTTCCCCAGATACTTCTAGGAAGATAGTCTAAAATTGAATTAACATAAACATTTTTGGATGGTTCAGTCACACCTTTCAGTGGCATCTACCTTTGTGTGAATAATAATGGGACCCTTTCTCCAGTCGGGGCATGAGTGACCTTCCAGCCTCTCCACGCTCCCTGGCTGAGTGCTCTTGTGTGGTGCACTACCTGCTCCACACAAGAGTACGTGGTTGGCCTGCCTAGTAAAAACTGTTTCTTGTTCTGCATGATTTTGAGACTTGCATTGGGATTTTTTTCTTCTTTGAAGCCAATAAAGAGAAAGATCAAGGAAGTGGCAATGAAGAGAGGGGCCTTTCTTTATCAGGCATTGTTTGGTCAGGAACAGTGAGTGGCACTTAATACATGTCTTTTTTATCTAACGCTTACAACCTCACTCGACTGTCTGGACTATTATGCACATGTTTCCATTAAAGAAACTGAGGCTTAGTAGTGAAATGATTTGCTCAAAGTCATCAGCTAATAAGGAGTGGAACTAAGTCCAACCCATAATATCTGTTGCAGAGGTTGTGTTCTTTCTAAACACCACAATGGTGCCATTTTAAATTTTGTATTTCATATAGGTACACACCTAAGTTCTCACACCACTTCCTTACTAAAAGAATGATAACAAATATATCCATTTCCTTCAGTGGTGCCCTGTTTTCTAATATTTTGAGACCGCTGAGTTCCAGGCATAAGGCTTAGTACTCGCACATGTTCTGCGTTTGCTCTGCATCTCTCAAGGCAGCCAGTTGAGATTTGCACCTTGGCCTTGCCACACACTAGCTGTGTGAGTATAAGCAAATTATTTAACCTTTCTGTGCTTGGTTTCCACATCTTTAAGGTCAGGATACTGATCATATCTATCTTGTTGAATGACTGTGAGGCTTGAATAAGGTACTTGGCAAATTTCATAACCTCTGTGCCTCAATTTCCTTATCATTAATATGGGTTAATAATAGTTTTAGTTTCTTAGAATTATAGAGAGAATAAACTCCAGAAACAATAAGCAATGTGAAGAGAAAGAAATTCAGAGGGGTCAAATGATTTCTTAGAGTCACATAACTAGGAAATGGTATAGCTAGGATTTGAACGTAGGTTTCTCTGATTCCTAATGCAATGCCTTTGATTATTAAACTATTCTGAAGGAAAAAGAAAACATAAAAAAGAAGGCACCAAATATAAGCAAATTCCATTTATTAAAGTTTGCATAAGGAGTTCCAGGTTTACCAGCAATTTTAATTTGAAATTCACCAGCATGTTGAATTTTCTGACATTAAAGGTCTTAATGATGGACTCACCTTTGAATTAGCATTGAGTATTCAAGAAGCATCTAGGTGCCTGGGTGGAGTTGGGAAGTTTTAAAGGGATGAACTTTTCCTTTTGAGCCAAAATGAAGTCAGTTTTTTTTGTAGAAAGAATCTGATGTGATATTAGTGGTTCCCTTAGAAAATTCAGATTTGATAGCCAACATGTGGAAAGAACCTAAATGTCCATCAACGGATAAATGGATGAAGAAAATGTGATGTATACATACAGTGAAATACTGTTCAGACTTACGAAGAAGGAAACTACAATATGTGACAATGTAGATGGAACTTGAGGACAATAAGTGAAATAAGCCACAACCAATTCAAAGTGAAATAAATTACAGAAAGACAAATATAGCATGATTCCACTTATATGAGATCTAAAGTAGTTAAATTCATAGAATTGAGGAGTGGAATATCGGTGGCCAGGGGCTGGGGCGAGGGAAAATGTGAAGTTACTGGCCAATCAGCATAAAGTTTCATTGAAGCAAGACGAATAAGCTGTTAGGACTCTGCTGTATGCCATTATATCTACAGTCAACAACAATGTATTGTACACTTAAAACTTGTTAAGAGAATAGATCTCACAGTACGTGTTCTCACCACAGTAAAATAAAATTCAAGGAAAAAAAAGAAACTTCAAATTTGAGAATCTGATGATTCTTCCCTATAAAAAAAATCCCAGGAGCTGTAGCTAATACCCTGGCCCATTTCCAACTGAAATAATTTACAATTCAAACACCCCCAATTTCCCTGCTATTTTAATTAGGGAATGTATTTTTCCCCCCTTGGTGTTTGCTCAACTGTATTTCACACAGGTGTGTCCTAATCATCCTGCAGCCAAAGAGCTGGGGTTAACTGTATAAACTGAGGTTTAAGTAATACTTAACATAAGTACTTTTCATAATGTGAGTTTTTGCTCTTCACTTTACTTTTTCTTCAAGTAGTTGTTAAAAATGGGGTTCAGTCTGATGTCCATGTATAGAATTTTTAACCTGTACTGTCTTAATAAATCATTCACTAATTCTAGCTTTATTACCTTTCATTTATCATGTCATATCTGTGAACTTAAACTAAAATCTATTATATCATCTTCCGAGTTTGTGACTTGAGGCACTGAGCCAGGACTTTCCGATGGGTGATGTCTGGAGGTATGAAATGACGGGGAAGCGTTTTCTCAGTTGTCTGTGTTCAACACTGACTGGTGACGGTGGGTCAGAGAGATCCACCCAGTGCCTCCTGGCTCCAAAATCAGGGAGGTTGGGGTTTTCCCCCAAGTTACTTCTCTCGGTATAGTTTTAGTGTTCCAAAGTACTAAGACTGTAGAAATTAAATAGGTATAGTCTGTTGATTCAGGCTGTGCCTCAGCTTCACACAGGTGCATTCCGTTCTCCTTGTCACCGCGCTCCTGGGCTTGCCTTCCTGCTGTATGGTCTCTTAGACAGTAGGCTCCTACCAGCCCTTGGGTGACTAGCATTTCTGGCCAATCACTCCTAAATTCTCTAATTAAACCATTCACCTCCTTATCTGTGTCTCAGGGACAGCTTAACCCACTGAAGTTTTTTCCCCCTACTATTTAAATCTTGTGGCACCATTCAAAATCTTTTATTTATTATATTATTACTAATGTTAAAGGAACTCTCTGAAAAGTACAAGGAAAAGGTTTACTTAAAGGATCTTAGGTATGTGTGTTTCTGGGTTATCCTAGCTACCTTTTAAAAAATTTTTTTATTGTTCAATTACAGTTGTCCCCCTTTCCTACCCATTGCCTTCCCCTGCCCTGCCCACCCCTCTCCCACATTCAGTTCTCCCCCATTCCTGCTGTCGTCCTTGTCCATGGGTCCCTCCCGCTCTGGTCACGGTCACTTTGTTCTTTATTTCCATGTCTCTGGTTCTATTTTGCTTGCTTGTTTGTTTTGTTCCACTTATAGGTGAGATCATATGCTCCTTTTTAAAAAAATTTAATTTTATTTTTGATTTTAGAGAGAGTGGAAGGGAGGGAGAAGTAGAGGGAGAGACACATCAATGCAAGACAGACACACATTGATCTGTTGCCTCTGTACACACCCCGACCTGGAACCGAACTCACAACCCAGGCATGTGCCCCTACCGGGAATCAAACTGATGCTCTTTCAGCTTGTGGGACAATGTCCAACCAGCTGAGCCACACTGGCTGGGGCTATCCTAGCTATTTTATTAATAGGCTTTGAGTTCATTTCTAGCTATAAGTACACAATTCCACCTATTTTTGGCTCTTTTGGAGACACAAACTTTGTTTTATTTCATTTTAGGAATATCAAGAAGATATAAAATATAAGCAAAATTCTGTCCAGTGAGTTTTAAATTTTACAACCAAGATCTAAACAAATCCACATGAAATCTATAAAATTATGTAATATCTGTTTAAACTTTTATTTCAAAAGCACCTATGAATATTATTAAGCTCAGGACCAAATTTACACTTCTATAACCTCACGTTAACATAGTCAATAGAAAATGTTCATCATACAATGTTAACAAGAAATAAAATAGAATTTAAAACTCTATATAAAATCTTGTCTGATCATCACTTACTCTTGAGAAAACAGACTGGATTATAATAATGGTGCAAGTGTTTCAATCTGAGGAACCCTAAGCAACCTCTCCTCAGCCTGAAGTGAACCCATCACGGGGGCAGAAAATGCAGGAGGGCTGCAATAAACTGCACGTTTCCTCATGCGAAGAGATTGCACATCACCTTCTCAATAAATAAAAGCCTTTCTGACAGGTTAGCCTTCCAAATAAAAGGCTCATGTTCACTCAGAGTCAATGTAAGTACTTAATCCCAAGCGAGGAACCAGGACTCACTAATAATCATTGTCTGGAGTCCCATGGCTTTCTGTGATAATTTAGTCTAAAACAATTAAAGTTCTTGGCCACAGGAACCTGTATTGACAACTGTGATTGATGGATTCCATATCTATGCTCTCATAATGATGTTATTGATTTGCCCCCAAAATTATTTCCTCCATTTTATAGTTAAAGGAATTGAGGCCCAGATTTGTAAAGACCTAGAACAAAACGTCTGAGGTGAGGACGGCTGGGCCCAGAGGCTGAGACAGGGCCGTAGCACCAAGAGCGCAGGGTAGAACTGAGGCAGGACAGAAAATTTGGTACAAAGCTACTGAATCTGTGGTACCAGAAAGTGGTAACATTTTCCTTTATGTTTTGTTTTATTTTAAAGTTATAAAAATAATTATCAATAGTGCCACTTCACACTACCATAGCTTTGATGTAATGGGAACGTCTTCTCTAAAATGAACAAATGAGTTGATGTCAAGGACCTCCTTATTAGTTTTATCTTAACACATGTTACAATCTGCTTCTTTTCTCTCTTAGGCCCTCTCTTACCATGCCTCACAGGAACCTGACCGGAAGCTGTAATGTTAACTGTGGTTGTAGGACGCATGAGTACGAGCCAGTCTGTGGATCAGATGGAATTACATACTTTAACCCCTGTCTGGCTGGCTGTGTTAATAGCGGTAATCTTAGCACTGGGGTGAGTATATTTCACAAGTTGCAGCACTGTTGTTAATCCAACATCCTGTGATGAGGATGTGTTAGAATTCAGACACAAATACATGACTTCAGTCTCCCTTTTCAAGAAACTTCAAATAATCTACAAAATACCTCTGACACAAACCCAGAGGAAGGACAATTATGCAAGACCATTAATTTTTTCCAGGGATGATTGGGGTGTTTGGGTGCAGCGTTTTGCTTCCATTATCAGCCCTCGCTTACTTTGCATTTGGTGCCAAGTCAGTGAAACTTGATAGGGCTCAATGCTGGGCCTCTCATTTGTTCCTCCAACAGGACCCTCGGGATGGATTTGAAGGTCAAGGTGACCACACTTGTGCTGACTGAAGAAAATAGGAGTGTACATCCCCTGCTGAGAGTCAGTGAAGATGGGCAATGGCCATTTTTCATAGATTATTGGTTCTGACTTTTTTTTTTTAGCTTTCAGAGTAAAGATATTTCTGTCAGTTCAAGAATAGGCTATTTTGAGAATTCCCTTCCCTGTGAATTATAAATAGGCTGTGATACTGTGGGGAAAGGTTTTCATATTCCACTCAGTTCCTTGTTGAGCCTGGTTTCATTCTTTGCATAAAAACGGATTGTAGGAGGCTGGTGGTAAGGCATTATCCCACTGACTGCATGTTTCTGGAATGTCATATTTGACTCTTGAGTTTTAAATGAAAATGATAACTTGAGAATTCCTGTTGCTGGTTCCCCATTAAATAAGTGATGCATTCCAGTATGTGATCAGTTGAAAGAGACAATGAGATCTGTCCTTCTGGTGGCTAAGTCCTTCCCTGGGAGTGAGCCTGTCCTCTGGTGCACAGCCCTCATTCTTACAAAAGAGGCTCGCAGTGCCCGGAGCTCAGATGGCCACATAGCATCTCAACTTCACATTTGCTCCTCCTGCCTCTCTAAGTGACTGAGAGGCCACAGTGGCAGTGAGTTCAGCGAAGTCCATTCAGTAAAAGCAACATAATAGGCAAGATGCTTAATTGGCTGCTTCATTAAAACACCTTTTTAGTCTCTTGAATTAGCTGGTTTCAAATGAAACAGCCAATGCTATCTGTGTGCACTGTTATTGGAATGGAAGCCATTATGAATGATCTGCATTTACATTAGCTCCTACTCTGCATGCAGGGTTGTGCTAGGTGCTCTGATGGGAACAGACAAAAAAAAAAAAGGCTTGGTTTCTGTTTTTGAGGGCTTCTCCTATTGAAGAGCTCAGGAGTTAAAGAGTAATGAAAACAGCATTTGATTAGGACCAAAAATGAGTGCACAATATATGAATGTTCTGAAGGCGAGTGTTGAAAGCCCCTTAGAAAAGTTTAGGTTTAAACAATTTTCACCATCGGATTTGGATATTGTTGGACATGCACTTTGGACCCTTATTCTTTTTTTTTTTTAAGATTTTATTTATTTCAAAAAGAGAGGGACAGAAACATCAATGTGTGGTGCCTCTTGAGCACCCCCTACTGGGAACCTGGCCTGCAACCCAGGCATGTGCCCTGACTGGGAATCGAACCAGCAACTCTTTGCTTCACAGGCTGGCCCTCAATCCACTGAGCCACACCAGCCAGGGGTGGACCCTTATTTTTAACAATGAGGAAGATATTTCTAAGTAAATGTTTTGCATTTTTAAAAATACTGGAGTTATTGGAGTGCATTTGACCTAAACTTGTCTTACTATTCCTATGCTGAATTTTGCTTTTGAATGACACACAACTGACTGATCTTTATAATCTGTCACTTAGATAAGGAATTACACTGAATGCACCTGTGTCCAAAGCCGGCAAGTGATTACTCCGCCCACAGTGGGACAGCGCAGTCAGCTCCGCGTGGTTATTGTCAAAACATATCTCAACGAGAATGGCTATGCTGTGTCTGGGAAGTGCAAACGGGCCTGTAATACCCTCATTCCATTCTTAGTTTTTCTTTTCATAGTCACCTTCATCACAGCCTGTGCCCAACCATCAGCCATCATAGTAACACTCAGGTGAGAACAGCATTCAACTTCTCCAATGGGTTATACACTCAGAATTGCCAGAATACATGTTCCAGGACTGGGGTCTAATGCACAGAGGAAAACAAAATTAGGTTGTACAGGAAAAGCAGTCAGATGTCTGCCTGGTGAATTTAGGAGAAGTGAGTTTTCCCAACTCAGAGAGGGGAAGTTTGTAACATTGCACCCTCCCCAAATTTCTTTTGTCAGATGGGTTTTATTCCTATAGTTCAGTGTAACTTCTTTTGAGGGCCTTGGGTTCCTGGAGATTCTGCACAAAAAGGTTCTATTTCAGGAGCTGGTAGCCGGCACAGTGTTAGCTATGAGAAGCGTGGCTCCAAAGGAGGCAGGAAGTCATTTTGGTGAAATTGATAAATCCTGCATACAGCAAAAAATATTATTTCCAACCTTGGAGATAGTTACCTTCAGGACCACTGACAGCTTATGCTGGGCCTGCCATTCAAAGTGCCAATTTCACTAATTTTACTAACATGAAATTTTGGAGTTGAACAAGGAAAGGGCAAACAGGAAAAATGTAATTTTTAAGTTCACGCTGTGCTTTCCTTGCCGTATTGTAGGTCCCACTGGTGGGTTTTTTTTTCTTATATGAGAATATGGAAATACCTTAATGGAAGTCCTATCAAAAAGGTTGTCACGAGTGCATTCCGATCAGATGTTGGTACTTGCAGTAAAGATTGCGGTGGGCAAAGGAAGAGAGCGGGCAGCGTGGGAGAACCAGAATACTCCCACAGCAGCTTTAGGGGGCTGTGGGCATACAGCGCACGAAGGAGTCGGGAAGGGAAATGAGTCCTTCCTCCTTATCTCCTCCCTGGCCCCTCTAGTCCCCAAAACGCTGGGCACCTGGTAGGAATTAGCTGCAGGGATGGCTTTCTAAGCAGGACCCTTGGGCTCCTTGCCTACCTACTCTGCATAGTCTGGCTTCCTGCCTACAGGATACCGAGTTAGAGGTCTCCCAGCTGGTTCCTTCCTTTACAGTAGAAGACCGCACATGAAAGGCCCGATAGTTGATTTACTCAGTCCGCCCATGGGCACACCCTTGTGGAGTAGCATCTCTGAGTGCAGCATTGGGCAAATGCTCTGAGAAAATAAAAGAGGTGGAGAAAAGATGACAAGTGCACCGGTCCTTGGGAATTTTACATTCTCTACCTACAACCCACATATGTGGGATAGAAAGGGGAAGGTACTTAATCATTAAAGAATACAAATCACTCATGATCTAATGCTTTGACCTTTAATTCTACAGGATCTTTAATTCTGTAAGATAAGTTCAGTCACCCAGATAAGGGCTGCCCAGTTTATAGTGTTCAAATATGGCAAGTCATCAGTTGGCATCTAACCTAAAACGTGGAAAAAGGAGCCCTTTAATCTTTGCTAATTGCAAAATCAATAGACTCTAATCTCCCTGTCATGTAGGAATTACTTGGAGCATAAGTTTTAGGAAAAGAAGAAAAAAATGAGGTAGCTCGAAGGGATTCATTATTTCCCTAACTTTTTTTAAAAATTAATTAATTTATTTTTTCAAATACATTTGTCTCTGCCTACATTTCCCTAACTTTTGATTTGTTCCCTTTATATTTTTTTGACTATGTATTTACAAAAATTTTTCTCTATATTTTTCTTTGAGAAATTATGGGAGTAATTTTCAATGTATATACCATTCAGGAAAGTATAGGCAAAAGGAGAAAAAAATGTAGTAGGATAAAAATGCTTCCTATATTTAATAGAACTGATTTGGGAAGCTCAGTTAGGGCCAGTTCCTGTACTTTCAGCCTTGACACTTTGCCCCTTCCATCAGCATTTACACAGAAACAATTAGAGTAAGCTGGAGTTGCTTTGGTGTCTTCACTGGAGATGCATTTATTCACTTGTTTAGCCATCAGCAGTCTTGCTTGGCTATTGTTATTATATTCTAGCAAATTAAATACTTGGGCAGAGCATCTTTTTTGTCCCTGGCTTTGCACTAAGCAGGGTTGATATGACAGTCATTTTCTCAAGACCACAATTTTAAAACATTTCTCTCTTTCTCTTCCTCTTAGGTCTGTAGAAGATGAGGAGAGACCTTTTGCTCTGGGAATGCAATTTGTTTTATTGCGAACGCTTGGTACGTCCCTCAATTTCCAAGTGTGCTTCTTAGTTCCTCTTTGCAGGTGGCAAATTCTCACTGTCCTTGAAAAGTGGCAAGTCAAGTCATTTATTACCATGGTAGTGGTGAGGATTTTGCAGGCTAGTGGCAAGGGCACAACTTCCTTATTTTCTTTCTTTTTTTAGTTTTGTTTTCAATTTTTTTTTATTTTTAAATCATGTTTATTCCATTACAGTTGTCTCAATTTTCCCCCTTTGCCCTCCTCTGCCCATCCCACCCAACCCCCCTCTCCCACAGCCAATTCCCGCTCTGTTGTCCATGTCCATGGGTCATTCATACATGTTCTTTGTCTAGTCCCTTCTCCTTCTGTCCACCAATGTCCTCCTTCCCCATCCCCTCTGGTCACTTTCAGTCTGCCCCCTGTTTCCTTGCCTGTGGTTTATTTTATTTATTAGTTTATTTTGTTAAATAGATTCCACTTATAGGTGAGATCATATGGTATTTTTCTTTCACCAACTGGCTTATTTCACTTAGCATAATATTCTCCAGTTCCATCCATGTTGTCGCAAAAGGTAGGAGTTCCTTCCTTCTTTCTTTTTTCTTTTCTTTAAAATGCTGATTTTATTTATTTATTTATTTATTTAAATGTCAAAATCCATTGTAAAATATTAAAAAATTTAAATCCATTACAAAGCCTCAGTAATTAAAACAACATGATACCAGCACAGAAATAATCAAGCAGATCAATGAAATAAAATGAGCATTCTAGAAACAAACATATATCTGTCTAACAATTTAATATATGATTAAATTGATATTTCAAATCAATGGGGAAAATAAGGCTTATTCAACAAATAAGGTGCACAGACCACTATTACTTGAAATAAAACAAATAGAGAGCCCTATTTCACATATTATACAAAAAATACTCAGGTGAGTTAAAAATCAACATGTAAAATCTAAGGAGTTTTAGGAGAAAATACAAAATAATATTTCTCTTACCCTGAAGTAAATATTCAAACCCAGAAGCTATAAAATAAAATATTGACAATATGACTATATTGAACATTTAAGACTATGCAGTAATATACATATAAAAAAGGTAAAGGACAAGTAATAGAATAGGAAAGTACTTGCAGCACATCTGAAAAAGGGTTAATAGTTTGTTTTTTTTTCTTTTAATCAAAAAATGGATAAAGAATACCAAAAAGTCATTTAAAACTTTTTAAAAGAAATAGGCAAGAACTATACAAAAACAGGTTTAGTTTCAACCAATAATGAAGTAACAATTAAAATAACACATCATTGTCACAATCAGGTTAATAAATATTAAAAATATTGGTAATATCAAGTATTGGTGACTGTGAAAGGAATTGGGTATTCATAGACTTTTTTTCCATCTTCTTAAAGCAGTCCCTTCGGCATATTTTGCAATGCTGGTTGGCAAAGATGTATTCTTTTAGCCTTCTTTTGTCTGGGAAACTTCTTATTTTGCCTTCCATTTAAATTGAGAGCCTTGGTGGGTAGCGCAGTCTTAGTTGCAGGCCTTTGCTTTTCATGACTTGGAATATTTCTTGCCATTCCCTTCTGGTTTGTAATATTCTTGCTGAGAAGTCAGCTGCTGGCCATACTGGGCCTCCCTTGTAAGGTACTACCTGGTTCTCCCTTGCTGCCTTTAGGATTCTCTCTTTGTCTTTGATATTTTCCATTTTAATTGTGATGTGTCTTGGAGTGGGCCTCATTGGGTTCCTCTTGAGAGGGATCTTCTGTGCTTCCTGGACTTGTGTGGCTTTTTCCCTCCTTAAATTAGGGAAGTTTTCCATCATTACTTTTTCAAACAGGTTCTCTATCCCTTCCTCCTCTTTTCCTCCTTCTGGTATCCCTATTATATGGATATTATTACATTTCAGGTTGTCCTGCATTTCCCTCAATGCCTCTTCATTCTTTTTGAGTCTTTTTTCATTTTCTCACTCTTTCTGGGAGGTTTTTTCTACCTTATCCTCTAGCTTGCTGATTCGATCCTCTGCTTCATCTTGCCTGCTTTTGATTCCTTCTACTGTGTTCTTCAAGTCATCAATTGTATTGTCCATTTCCTCTTGTCTCTTATTGATAGTTCCTATGTCCTTTTTCATACTAATATAGTTTGCAGTAAGTTCTGCATAGTTTCCCTGTAGTTTTTGGTAATTCTCTCTGAGCTCACTGACCTCATTGAGCTTCCTTAGAACCATTGTTTTGAACTGAATATCTAATAGTTTACTTGCCTCTATTTCATTTAGTTCTCTTTCTGGGGGTTCTTCCTTTCCCTTCAACTGGGGGTGTTTCTTTGTCTTCCCGTTATGTGTGAGACTCTTCTTTTTTGCTTCTGCTTCCTAAATTGATCTGTCTTGATTTCCTGACTTTGTGGTGTGAACTTCTATGGTAGAAGACTGCTGTTTTTACTTTCTGGATCTGCCTCTGATGATGTTAGCTGTCGACCCTGTGTGACCTTAGGCAATCTGTTCGAGACTGCCAGGAATCTACTGTCTGTGGCTCTCTCCTTCAGTTGTTAATCTAGTCACTCTGCAATCAGCAGTCAGGCTTAGACACCACGGGGCGTGGGGGGGAGTCCCTCTTGCGGATGGGGTTATAATGAAGTAACAATTAAAATAACACATCATTGTCACAATCAGGTTAATAAATATTAAAAATATTGGTAATATCAAGTATTGGTGACTGTGAAAGGAATTGGGTATTCATAGACTTTTTTTCCATCTTCTTAAAGCAGTCCCTTCGGCATATTTTGCAATGCTGGTTGGCAAAGATGTATTCTTTTAGCCTTCTTTTGTCTGGGAAACTTCTTATTTTGCTTTCCATTTAAATTGAGAGCCTTGGTGGGTAGCGCAGTCTTAGTTGGGTCCTCTCACGCTGCTGCCGCTCAGGGGAGTGGTCAGACTGAGCAAGATGGCTGCTGCCATATGATGGATGAGTCAGCACAGGATCCTGCTGGCTACTTTCTCAGTTCTCTCCCCAAAGCCTCATTCCCCAGTCACTCCTCTGATGTCTCCTGCCCACTTTGCCCCCTCCTTTGCCGAAGACCAGGGTAAGTGGCTGCAAATAAAAATTTATGCGTTGGCCCTTTAAATGGCCCTTTGCATCTCCCGCTGCCTGTCTCTGGCAGAGAGCAACCCTACTGCTTTTCGCAGCTGGCTGTTATCTGTGTACTTTTTGGGTCTGGTGCTGTTGGCAGAAGATCCGTGCTTATGGTTTAGACCACATTCATCTCCGGGGCCGTTTTAGTGTCCTTCTGGTGCTGCCATCTGTGGGTACCCTGCCCACCTTCTCGAGTCTCTACTGTGCTCCTTACCAGTTAGGTTGTGCGAAAGCTGATTCTTCTGTATGCCCGAGGTTATAAGGCTCCTCTCTCACTATTGTTCAGTTGTTTGTTCCAAGTTATTTCTCCACAATTTAGTTGTAAGTCCAGATTGGTCCTGGGAGGAGGTCAGTGTGACTTTACTCAGTCCTCCACCATCTTGATTCTCCCAACTTCCTTATTTTCTGATTTGAACTAAAAGCTGACCAGTTCTGTCATATGATGACACAAAACCAAACCAATTTTAGGTCAGTTCCCTTTTCACTGTAAACATAAACAGGCTAAATTCCCCAGAGAATTTTGTACAGTAAGAAATACTGAACCAAGCAATCATGATGGGCTTATGATCCTTGCATTTTGTCCCTTTATACCTTTTTGACATGAAAATAATGGGGAGTGGTACTCATTTTATTTGTGAAGAAAATTTCTTCTTTCCCGTAATCTTATTAGATTGGGAAAGAGTGTATCTATCAAGTTTTCTGAGAGAAAGAAATAAAATATTCTAAAAAGAAAAAAGAAAGATACCCAAATTTACATGTAGGAACTTGTTAAAAGAGAATCTCCTTAGCACTGTGTTAATATGGAAAGTTGCAGAGCTCATGGGAGGATGAAGAATATTCTGATTTTTACAAATACTGCAGCACCCTCTGATGCCTTGGAACAACGCATGGGAAATAGCATGTGAAGTAGTAGTCCATTCTCTTGATCAGTTTCAATGTATTTTTAATTGACTTCCTCATCACCAGGCATATTTTTTCTTTCTTAACTGGCGGTCTGATTTTCTACAGCTGTTATTTCCCACAGTAATCAGTATCATTGTTCACAGGACAGAAAAAGGGTTTTCTGACCTAAATTTTTATTTCAGTTTTGAAAGGTGAAACATTTTTAAATGGTATCTTCTGACCCTTTGAAACCTTGATCATCTCTGGGATTTTCAATTTGCCCTATGTTGTGGTTGATGGGCCGAGAGCACTTTCCAGTGAGCGTCAAAGACTTCTGGTTAAGTGAATGCATGATTTGTCTTTTTTGGTACCAATGAGACATTGAAAGTACCATTTTTCAAAGTATGCTGGTTAAAGGAGATTTTGACATACTTTGATATAGTTAAGAAGTATGCCTTATATCTCTCTTGAAAACTAAAAAGTTATTTTCAAAGAAAAAAATTTGTTTAGCAAAGGGGTAGTTGAATAGGAAAAGAAAAAATATAATAGTTCCTCATTGCACTGGCCTATCTCTGATGCCCTGGAGTCAGGCTGATTTGATCTGGATGCAGAGGTAAAGGTAGGTTAACAGATGGAAACTGTGACATCAGGAGGGAGAACGTTGCAGGCACTTATTATTTAATGCAACCTTAAGCTCTATTGATTATAAAAAGTACAGCTCAGCCAACAAGCCAATTTCCATTTCCCCAAATTCCAAAGCAAAAAGAGACTTTTAAGTATTTAAAAAGTTTAAAATTTTATTTATAGTGAACATGTTCCCTTATAAATTAATGCATCGTATTTAAAAATGTATCACCCACAGCCACCTGGGTTATTAGCCTGCATGTTCTCTCTCCCTTCCTCTCTCCTTTCTCTCCTTCCCTCCTCTCTCCTGTCCTCCCATTACTTTTCTTCTATTAACTATCATTGAGGATCCATGGGCTGTCCTCTTGGTCCTTGGGATGGCCCTTGCCATCAAGGAGCTTATGGGTGACATGTTCGCAAACAGTGTGATAGTTGAAGAGTAGAGGTATATACAAAATGCAGTGGGAATATGGTGGCATCTGAGCGAGTCAGGAATTTAAAGGTGGAGTAGATATTTGAATGCAAGGTGGGCAAGTGGGGGATAGGGTCCCAGTTCGGCAAAGGCAGTGGTGTGCTGAAGGAAGTCCACTTGGGTAGGCTTTCTTCCTTATGGGATTAAAGAAATGTCTATATCATGGTGCAGAAATGAAGTTACTATTGCTCACCACGGATGTTTCCTAAGCTTCAAAGATGAATTTTATGTCTGAATTATTTCTGTGTCCCGAGTGCCTTTATAAAGTTGCCATTTAATAGGATTTCTGACTCATAAGAGACAGTGTTTTTCTCATCCAGCACTGGAACCTGCCGGAACTCAGTGTACTGAGTTTTAGTGGACCATCAAGACTTCTAGTATAGCCTCTTGAGTAGTTAATGACAAAATCTGATTTTCAAGTTTAAAAGGGTTCCCAAATTGCATTTTTTCAGCAATAGATATTTTTATGATCCTAAAAATCAATAACACATTCTGACTGAATTGCAAACTGGAAGATTAAATGTATCCCCAATTTCCTGAACATTTTTATAATAAATATATTATGACAACATATGACAAATTTAAAAAATCCGGTGACACAAGAAGATCACTCCCCTCTGCTGGATTCAGAGCACACAAAGCACCTTGCTAATTTACACATATGTTTTCTCTTATCAGATGTGCTAAATATTTTCTTCTCTTTTTTCCCCCTATACACCTGTAGCATACATTCCTACTCCAATTTATTTTGGAGCAGTTATTGACACCACCTGCATGCTCTGGCAACAGGAATGTGGAGTGCAAGGCTCTTGCTGGGAATACAATGTGACGTCATTTCGTTTTGTCTACTTTGGTTTGGCTGCTGGCCTCAAATTTGTTGGCTTTATTTTTATTTTTCTGGCCTGGTATTCCATTAAATACAAGGAGGAGGCACTGCAGCGGCAAAGGTGGAGAGAATTCCCGCTGGGCACTGTGAGCGAGATCGTGGGCCACCCCGACGGTGCCGACAAGTACGCCCGGACTAGATCTTGCCCTGTTTTCAGCACCCAGGGAGAATTCCATGAAGAGACTTGTCTGCGAAAAGGGATCCAATGCACAGCACAGACCTATCCAGGGCCCTTCCCAGAAGCAATAAGTTCCTCCCCAGACCCGAGGCTGGAAGAGAGTCCTGCTGCCGTGTAGCCTTCCTCCTGAAACTTGAAAATGGAAGACTTTAGTTTTGTTGGTTGAGTTGAATATTGGCGACTCGAGAAACACCGTGCCTTTTTCTCTTTCTTTCCTTTTTTAACCTCTAAAGACAACAATCCTCAAACCAACAAAGCTCAGTATACACAGCCACTATTGAATGAGGGCTGGATACCTCAAGGAGACTGAGAACATTTCTCCCAATTCTCTCCAAGAAGGAGGAGTTTAGGTAGACTTGTTACCATTTCCACTATGTTAATTTCATGCTCCTGCTCCAATACATATAAGGCCAAGGCACATGGTTAACAAAATCATGGAAGTGTAATGGCGGTGCATCTCATTAGTGTATACTCTACACAAAGGTGAGCTTGACCATGGCTTTGCATTTACAACTCAAAAAGTTTTTAGATCTGAACACCTACTGTGAGTTCTGCTACAAAGCACAAATGAATTTGCCTCAACTATGCAATTTGATTGGGAAAATAAGTGCAGCATGTTACTTTTGCTTTCAGAGACTACAGCAGATACGTTTTTGAAAAGAGGAAGCTCTTTAAAGTACTGTTAATAGCATTTTAAGCCATAGCAGAGTTACAAATCAAGTAGGATTTTTCAAATGCTTCAAAGGAACCATATGCATAGTGTGATAAAAGGAACAGCTACTTCATTTCATGAAACACATTCTTTTAGTCTGTCTGCCCCCCTCATAGGGTAGTTAAGCAGGCTGCTTAAAACATCTGATAGCTTGAATATAAACTCCAGTATTCCTTCATAAGGGGCTTTAAAACTAGTGTGCTAAATAATGTGGCTAGACTCTGTAATTTGAGATGCATAATAAGGAAACTCATGGCTTTCTCACCCGCCCCCAAAAAATTGCTGCAGAAATTCTTTTAGCTCGTAAGGGCTCATGTAAGAGTAGTTAGGAATTGTAACCTTGAAATAGTTGGAAATAGGAATATAGTTGGAAAATAGTCAGAAAAAGGAACTTCAGAGGTGTGTGATTGAGTCCCATCCTTATAATTATCTGCCTGGGAACACTTAGCAAACCTGTGTTGTTCTCTTTCTTATGAAGAGAAAATTGCTATGGTTGTTACTGAAATTGAGTCATTAAACCAGGAGAGCTATACCTGCTATATGGAAATCACCTTGATACAGGAGGAGGGCGATCTGGGAGCCGGACCTAGAGTATGATCCTAAGTAATGATTAAAAAAAATACAAAATAAACTGGTCTGTTGTACTGAATCCTGCTTTATTAGGGTTAGAATCATTTACACTGTCCTTTGACTCCTTCCTATTGTAACCTTCTGAAAGTGATTTGAGAGAGGCCTCTTTTTTTTCTTTTGGGTTCACTCTCCATGACCCTCTCCAGCACCCCTAGCACATGACTTCGACATAGGTGCCACCCAGGATGCTTTCTACATGGTTCTTAAGGCGGATGACTCCTGACAGCACCATGGACCGATGGCAAGTTATCTCATGGAAGCTGGCTTCTCAGAAAAAGAACTGTGACAACTCAGATTTGGGAGGGACTTTGAGGGCCAAACACCAGTGTCAGAATTTCTGCCAAGGAGCCTGTGCTCATGTAAGGCTAACCCGGAAAGTAGCTTCCTTGGTGGTTTACACTTTTCCACAGAAGGAATGTGATCAAGCCACATAGCTGTCCCATGATTCAGGCTTTTTGCACTCCACCCATGGCTGCCCCGTGGAGTTGTGTGGATATTCCTCGGTACAGGGTGGTTTTCCTCTCTCCCTAGGAATGGTCCCAGTCAAGAGGGTCTCTCGGTTGTACGCAGTTTGTGGAGAGGTTATCACTATTGGACCGAATAATGTCTCCACGGGTGGAGCCAGTGGTCTCAGTGACAGGGGCTCTCTCTGAGCAGTCTTGTTTGACTGAGTCATTGAGTTATTGCCTGTAGTTACTCCGGTGTCCATCAAACTTTGGTCCATGTGGTACATATTGAAGGTCTTTAGAAAATACTGCTGATCAACCCAGTGTGTACTCCAGGGCCTTAGGGCTCCCCTTTACCTTCTGGGGGAAATCTTTGAGCCTTTCAAAGAGAAAGTTTCCTTTTGTGTTGGAGCTAAAGATAGGTAGGCTGGGGAGAGGTACTGTTCTCTTAATTCTTCCCTGATTATTAAGAAATGGCACTGAGAAAATTTTGGTGGGACTGCACTTGTTTTTTTTGTAGCTAAAACAGTATGTTCCTACACTGTTACAGTTTCTCTCTTCCTGGTAGGATATTCTTAAAAGGAGCCACTCTCAGAACTCCAGGGTAGGGGAAGACGGAGTGAGCAGGTATAATTAGAGAGGGCCCCCCCCCTTTTCTCTTCCATGGACTGTCATCCAGTTCTGCAAGCAGTGACTACCGGGCACCGTTGGACCCGTTACCATCTGCCACTCTGTGAAATCCTTGGGGATGATTAGGCCAGAATTCAAAGAAATTGGCATGAATTGTACATTACAATGTTAGCATTGTACTTTCTCAAGTGTCCAATGTTTATAAGTAGCAGGTGTATCATTACTGTGTTATTGGTGCGTGCAGAAAGAGTAGTAAAAATTATGGAATATGTACGAAGTAAGAGTTGTCCCTGAGATGCTTTGGGCTCTGGTAGCATCACTGGAATATTATGTAGTCAACTAAAGTGATTATTTTATAAATGATACCGTTTAATTGTGTATAGGAGGTTCTTATATACTTCCTAATAAATTGGTTATGTTACTCTATAGTCACAGCTCCAATTATAAATTTAAGTGCCACTTTCCATTAGTTTAGGCTTATAATTACTTGTTTTGGAAAAGGTCATCTTGTTTCTTAGTAAATATGTAGATTAATATAGTATTTGGCTTTAATATGCAAATATAATATTCTTGACTCTAGCCTATTGATTTAGAAAGTCCCCAGAGGGTTGGGTGGGGGTCAAAGCACATTCTTTGGTTATTTCCATTTTTAGGAAATGCTGATCCTTTGTAGGTGGCTTTAATTCTTAGAAACAGTCAAAAGTCATTTAGAACCAAGGTTAGAGGAGAAAGGAGTGGGCAGAGAGGACACAAATGAGTGTCTGTTGAGGGTTGACTATTAGCACAGCATTTTGTCAAGTACTTAATACACATTGTTCATTTTAATCCTCTTAATAACTTTGAAAGATAACCATGTTCTGTTATTTTGTGTTTGTGGTTGTTTTTGAAAACAGATCATGGCAGCTGAGGCTCTGAGAGGGACAGTGACTTGTTTGGAACTGGAGAGTGGGCGAGCAGCTTCCGATGCAGGTTTCTCTGTCTCAGTGGTTCACTTCTTACCCTACATAGTGCATATGATAGTTTTGATTAACAGATATAAGATGTGACTAGAAGATAGTGAGGTAAATCATTTCAGTCTTTGATGTGCTACTGTTTCTGAAGAGTAGAGATGTTATTATTTCTTTATGTAAAATAGAAAAAATCTGTAGGAAACATTAAAATTTAAGGTTTAGACTTGCAAGGTAAATTTACATTTATTTAGCTAAGTGTTATGGTCAAAATTTTTTGTCATAACATACCTCAAGTATTTAATTATAGTGTGTACTTAATATAGAACAAATCCAATTTTGGGGGTAATGTTGAGTCTCAGTAGCGTTTCCGAAATGAAACATTATGAGGAAAGGTGGTTCAGATTTATAGAATCTGAACTTTCGAACTTCAGGTGTATGGTTTTCCACCTTCTCCCCCCCTTCACAATGTTAACATTTCCATTAGTTTTTGGTGAAGATTGGTTTAAGTTTCTTAATAAAAGTTTAAAATGAATATATATATATATAGTGTTACATGTTAAGTGAACATGTTACTATATATATACACATATATATGTGTGTATATATGGTGTTACATGTTAAGTGAACATATACAAAATGTTATATGTAATATCCCATACCACGGTGGCGACCGTCAGTGGCTGCGGTAACAACTCGGTGCACGCACTTGGAAATGTCGGCCATGAGAGAAGGGCGTTACCTGGTGGAGGTAATGGCAGCCCTCCATTTTCACCACCCACCAAGGAAATTCTTCCTCAGTCAGCAATTTCAGCTGGCCTTCCTTGGTCGGCTTGGAGCCAGGTTTCTTTTTGGAGTTGGTTATGTATCAACCACTGGTGCACCAAAGAGAAGCTTCATAGTGTGAATGGACCTGAAGCATTTGTGGACATTCTCTCATGTGCCAGGAGCTATAGGAGAGCCCAAGTGCAGGGTGGTAGCTCATTCTACTTTGTGATTTTGTGTGTATGTAAAACATCCTAAATGGCACAGAAACGTGAACATTACTATTGAGGTATTGGTGCATACTGAGTACTCCAAGAAGCAAATAGACATCACACTACTGTACAATCCCAGAATTGCCTAGACCGCAGGTTTGCCGATTCTCTGTTATGCAGACCAGTAGGTAGCCTTTACACATGTTTGCATTTTCTCTTTCATGGTGGCCAAGGGAGTGCCATGGCTGACTACAAAGTTAGTGGCCTTGAGCACTTTATCTATTCTGTCTTCTTTCCTCATCTTTCAGGATGCTGCTGGCCGTATCCATCCCAGGTTTCTTGCTACATTGGTATCAAATCTCTGTATGTTTGAAGAGGTTATTTTAAGCACCTCATTTTTACTCAGCCCTAGGAAGGGTCAAATATGAGGAAGACCCTCCCTGCTTTTGCAACATTAAAAACAATGCCTTGGTGCTAGAAGTGTTTGATGAAGCATGCTCACCATGAAAAATGCGCCACAGTATTTCACTGATAAGGGACTGCATGTGCTTTGCTTTTGGAAACCTGGAGAACTTCCTGGAAACAAGCACTCATTATTCTCATTACTACAGTTAATCCATGAACTTGACATTGCAAAAATGAAGCGTGTAAGGGGGAATCCTTTTTTTCTATAAAAAACTCAGTGCTTTTGATATTTATTTTAGCAAGATTATAATCGGATGCTAGGAATAATTTCAGAAAGGGGGAAAATATTTCAGGTAATCTTTTCGTATTTCTTCTCTAAAAACGTACACCCATGCAAGGTGTTTTTAATACTGGGGTTTTGAAAGTGTTGTCTTTTTCTGGTATTCTATTATTATGTGTTAAAATTGGAGAAGATATTATTAAAAACTAAAACTAATGTAATTGCAGGGACTGTTAAACCAAAGGGGTGAGCAAAAGAAGTTTAAAGTTTGTATCTAGAAAAGGAAAAAAAGAGTAATTGGTAAGAGTTTATTGTGGGCATTTTTCTTAAAATATATACCTCTACTCCTAACCCCAAATGTCAGTGAGAAGCACGAAACAGGCAGGTCAGCCTCTAATTCTTTAGTTAAAGGAAATGTAACACTGTGTCAGGCCAACTGGCGTTAGGATCCTAGCGGAGTGTGTGTTCAGCGTGTGTGTGTGTTTTTGTGTGTAGGGCTGTGAATGCTTGTGATGAAAGGCTGTTTTGAGTTGGTGCATAAAGGAGTTTGATTTTGTGATTTTTAAAATGAATATTTATTTGGTGACCTCTTAGGTAATTTAAAGATGTATAATTTCCTTGTGTTTAATGAAATCTATTGTCAATGTACTAATCAACCTTGGTTTACAACATCTTGAATACTTGATTGCTGAAAATTAAGAAAAAAAGTTTAAAAAAAAAGAGAATAAAGTGTGTTGGATTGAAATGAGTTTGTCTCTTATGATTTTTGTTGCTCGAGGACAGGAAGCAACGATACCAGGGTAATCATTCCTCCCCCTACTGCCTCACGGTGAAGATTC